AAGAAGTCCCGTCTTAACCAATAATTTTTAACTAAATTTTATGTATAACACGGTTCTGAAGGCGTTCGAAAATAATGCACTTTTATTTTTCAAGACGCTGTAACTCAGGAGGAATTAATCATATTAATTCAAAATTTTTATACAAAACTTCAAGTATAGAGTTATTGTTTGTTACTTACCATCAAAATGGGAAAGATCCATCACTTTTGTAATAAAATATGTTGTCAGACGTCCATGTTTATAAACAGTCGCATGGCTACCATCGGAAAATATTGTGATGCTCTGCTATATTCCGGGAGAATGTCGTGATATTCCGTGATATTCCGCCATATTCCGTGAAATTCCGCCATACGTATTTCGTGATATTCCGCCATATTCCGTGATATTCCGACATTCCGGGTTTTCACAACGCCCAAACATAACATGCAATCTCTTGCATTTCATATGCTCGTGCGATAACATAACATGCAATCTCTTATATACATTGTAATTGCATACCAAATACTGTACGTAACAAATTAACTTTCCATTTACCTAAAAGGATACACTATGGCTGCAACAGATGGCAATCGACGTTCACAAACATAGTCAAAGTCAAGCATACCCTACAAAATAAACGCGTTCTCATGTCTAAACAATCGATGCGCAATAATACAGTAGGTATATATAGAGCATAGTTCAAAAGGAAACTAACTCATGCACGAAATTATTCTTGCTGGATAGCTCTACCAGCTTTAAATTTTCTCTGCAGTAGGCATGTAAGGGCATTCGCTTATACAGGGATGGATCCAGCCAGATTTGGCAGCGGGGGTGGGGGCGCTCATCGACCCATGGTCGTTGTTCGAGGTGCGACCGTTCATCAAGTTCATAATCATTTGGAGCTACGTTGTCTTATACTTGTCCATGAGGGTTACTGCAGGAGGAATGCAGAGAAAACAAAAGGTGTTTGGTCCAGCTGGAAACACTCCTCTCAGATGCGATGAAGGCAAAATAATACTCAGACAACTGCATATTACGTTCCTGGTAGTTTTACATGAAAAAATTGCAAACATTTGCCGCAGGAATGGATCTCCAGTCACAGAGGTGAACATGCAGCAACCACTGTGCAAACAAGATATTTCAGGAAATCAGTACATCATAGTATCATTAGGCAAAAATCCTATACTAGTTGTGTTAGTAAAATACCTGTACAGCCCGAGACTGCATTCCCCATATAATGGCTCGCGTCATATTATGAAACAGCGGTTCTGCTTCCTGGACATCAGGACCTTGAGCAGACTTTGCCGATTTCATACTTTCTAAATCTGATGCGGAGATGATGCGTTTTGTTTGAGCCAACACTGGACCCTAAAATACAGAAACACATATGCGTTTGTCATTTCAGTTACATTTATAAGAAAAGTGAAACAATGTAACCTTTTTAAATATACGAAAACTTCGAAGAAACGTGAGAAAAATGAGATTTCACGCTTCGACGCGAATTATTTGTTTTGTAAATTGTGAAATTCACTTCAGTGCAAAGTAAGTTGTTTCGCTAACGTACCTGATCAGCGGATTTGAAGAACATATCGGCTGCAGTGTTTGAGTCTAACACAAGTTGTTTAGGAATTTCACGTTTACCCAATGCCATACCAACGACTGCAGTCATGTGAGTCTCAGTACCAAACACATGTACTGGAACACCAAGGGTTGCACCTTAAAGAAACACAATTTCATAACCAGGTTAATCCTCGCCTCTGGCCTGTGAAAACTGAACTAATGCTTCAAAAAAATTTAAAACAAAAATATGTTAATAGTGCACAATGCCTCACCGACTTCTCGCATGACTCGTAAACCTTCTTGGTAGTTTGGACCACCACGCCGTACGAAAACAGTCACTTTATGTCTGATCAATTGTCGTTGGTATTCTTGAAGTGCTCGAACGATACCCTGGTTGAGAGATGGTAATGTTGTGTTGTGTTGTAGTATACTAGTGATTATTTAATTGAAAAAGTTCATTATCGTTCACATTTATGAGCCTGAGCAGAGGGTCGTTGAGATGGCAGCTCCTAATCTCAAGCAGATATAGGCAACCCATGACGACACACCGAGAAAGTGCTTGCGCACCTCCCCTCAAAATCTGGCCATGAACAAAAGCCATACCTTAAACGTTGCGGACACGTTGGTGAAATTTGCAATTCCTCCACCAATGATAAGTATTTTACCTAAAGAAAGAAGTAAAATTGCTTGAACTCAACATCGAGTTGTTGGACCGATTGCTACTAGAGACAAATGATCGATATATGGAAGACTACTCAGTTTAACTTGACGGACGTTCGGCCTATGTCTAAAGATAACGAGATTTTTAATCAGACTCACCATCAGGTCTCGGTTCTCCATCAGCTAACAACTTTAAAATTGTCATAGCATATTGATAGGTTTGACTTTCTGTCGGAGCGCCAGAATATTCACCATAATTTGCCAGTTCGGATGCACCACCAAGTTCACATATCGTGTCACTAATTAGAAGGCAACGATTTATAAAATTACGGAAACAGAAATATAGTCGTTAATTGGATTTTCCATGGGATGCAGTTTTTTGTTGTTTTACTAGTAATTTAGAAGCGTTTGCTATATTCATAGGTTATAATTTCGCTAAATTCAAATTATTGCTACCTTTTTTTGTAATTTGTATTCGAAATAAACAATAAAAAACTAAAGACTGCATTAATATGCATTAATATTAGCCAGTCGTATTATGATCTTAGTTTATTTAAATTAAATCCTTAGTCTTAAACTTTACCACATTTTATCTGATCAAGAAGTGCTGCACTAAACACGAGTAAACAATGACGCGAATACACCCTTCCGGAAAGTACGTCGCTTTGGCTGTAGAGCCTCGTTTTCGTGTATTTGACATTAGTTAAAGCCCAACATCTCAATCACGAAAACGAGGCTTTATAGTCAAGGTGACGTACTTTCCAGAAGCGTGCATTATAACACAAGACTAACTAACACTTGACTAAAGTGAATGTGCTCATGTGTTCCTGAGTGAACTAGGGAATACAGTGTTACTTCCTCACAACATGTGCCCTTTTCTAAATGCCCGTTTACATGATGTGACACGTCGTATAAAATTTTGAAGTTGAAAATTTTCAAGTTTCGAGTGGAAATGGGTCTTAACACATGTTTATTCGAGTAAATACAAGTACGCCTGGATGTTTTGTCTACGAATTGTAAGGATTGCATACGACTATAGTCGTACGGTGTAGACAGGTCTTAATAAAAAAAGGCGGTTTTAAGATGTTGTCCCCCTCTTACGTCAATTTGCTTCTTAATCTGTCTTACCTGTAAATAACTGAAGCGCCACCCCCTGCAACCATTGTCCATATCCGTCCTGCCTTGTTTAATACCGTTAGTTTGAGAGATGCACCACTTTTAGCATCAAGATTGGCAATAAACGCTTCCTAAACACAGAATTATTTCCTGAAATTTACACGCAGTTTCCACCAATTGCTGCGGTGTGAAGCATGCGATAATCCAAGATTTTTAGTCGTATACCTGACAGGTACGCCAATGATTATTGCCGCGTACTTGCGCTAGAACCAACTCAATTACAATACTCAATGTGTACTTAGTCTTTATACAAAAAGTACATAAAGAACAAGTTTTCTGAAAAATTTATTTAAACTACTATACAATCGACCTCAACATGCCTTAGTGCTATCAGTCTAATCATGTTTCATGCCAAGACATGTCAGACTTACATATACCAACTAAATTACGGTATTGAATACCTTGGGCTTGGAAAGGTCCAGATGGTTCCAAAAAGTTAAGTATACGCAGTTACCTACACTGGATCCTACGTTTGAGATATCTTATTCAGGTAGTTCAGACACAAACCACTCCAGCATATTGAAGAATACTACCTACACTGGACCCTACGTTTGAGATATGTATCTTTTTCAGAAGAGTACCACGTACCTACGTAGTACGTCGCTGAAAATAAAGGCGTACCAGACCGTAATATTGGCGTACCTCCGGCTACAGTACGTGAAAAATATATAATGCAGAAATTCCACGTTTCGAGCGAAGGCCCAACGAAGGCTGTGGCCTTCGCTGAAATGTTGAAGCGCTCACATTTTTTCACACAACATCTTTCAATTACGAGAGAATTATAATACAACCCTAAAATTAAAATCAGAGGTTATAACGGTAATAACCAGTCGTGCCCTATATAACGTGCAAATCTTTACCTCAGGAAAAGCTTCTCGTCCGAACGGAGGAGGAAATGGTATTTCTCCCCATTTTGGCTTGCAAATGAAATCTGCAGTTTGATCGAGTTTTGCAGCAACGTCCAAAACATGAATGCCATTGCCCACGATAACTGAAAAATACGCATAAAGACTATGACACAATTGATTAGAAGAAACACCAAACATATTTATATTATTTTCTAAATGGTAATTTAAAGTCAAATCATAACGACATATATAAGTTACATAAAGTTGGATGAGCCTAAGTTATAAATTTATAGTTATGAAAACATACCAAGGGGATTTATTTCCAGATACGTAAAATAAAGATCAGTAAATGTTGTAAAGAGAGCAGATATGAAGTTTACCAGTAGCCTATTAAACAAAAGCATAACAAAAAGAGACAGATTAGCCCAAAAATGGCAGAGAGACAGATTACCCAAAAATATATAAATTTAAAGAATTCTTAGTAGTTTTCATACACATGATACATTGTACATACGAACTGCATGATCTCTACCACCACAGATTCGAGAAGCAAGCGTTACTGTCAGCCAATTCAAGTCTTACCTGATAACTTATTATGAAGCAATGACCAAACAAATATATAACATTAATGCTACACAAACGTTTAAAAGTATATGTGTCAAGTGTCACTCGTGGCGTCCGTTGTCCAATCTTGTGGATAAAATGTGTTGTAAATAATGTAATGTTTTTTTATATACATATTATTAGGGACCCTGTAAATGGAGCAGTAAGCTCTGTAGGGTTAACCTGTCATTTATGACAAAGTTTATAAAAAAAATAGTATAGGAAAGGAAAGTGCAACATACTGTAACCAACGACAGAAGACTTTACTTACATATAGTATACTCAAAGTACAAAAACGTAGTATAAACACGTCAAAGTACAATACGAAAAGTATAACTTTGATAACTGTATGTGTGTTAGCCCGCGTGCAGGCCCAAGTCTTCCCTTGGGCCTGCACGCGGGCTATATGTGTATATTTTATAAAATTGATAACTTTATAGAAACCTCTTCGTTTCTCCTGAAACATTTGTCAGTAACTCATTTTCAATCTTGTCGACATCAACTGACTCTCCAACAGCAATATCCAATTTTTTCGCCTTGGGGTAAAAATATATAATTCAGTATGGTACATCAAACTCCACAGAACTTATAATAGAATATTTATATGACAAACATATGAAGCATTGTCATGGAGTTCCACTTGCGCAAATGACAGAGTGTCAGGCTAGCAATTTGCAGGTTTAAGCACCGTGTGAAACAAAGGATTTTTTTAGAAGTATTAACAGCTTATGAAAGCAAAGCAAACAAATTCAACTAACTATGAAGCTGCAAACAAAATAACATGACAAATATAAGTGATACTCTTTAGTAATTGTGTATATGTGCAGAGGGAAGGCATAAAATGACATAACAAATATAACATTCATTCTAGACATTGACCAATTCATTGACTTTTCATTGACTTAAGGCCAAATGTCAACGGCTGGCAGGGCGTCGGGCAACGACAGGATCAAGTCAGGAATCTTTCCTCAGCTTTGACAGATTGTACAAGCAAAACAAACAAATTAATGACGATCATTTCATGTACAGAAAACAACTATAGTTGTCACAGAGCTACCTAGAAAACTCCGCATTTTTCTAATATATCTGTATTCGCGGTGCTAACCTTGCTATCTACATCACCAATGTCAACACCTCCTTCATGGTGAAACAAAATTGTATCACAGTCTCGTTGTGCATATATACACACATAAAATTCTTCCTCCTAATTAACAAAGGAATACATGAAAATAATAGTTAGCCGTTAATGGCGTTATATTAGGTGATGTAGTTTAGTTCGGATAACGATACACAAACATAACTTTATTTCTCACTAAGGACGTTTCCGTATAATAAAACACATTATTCATCTTCTTCTTTCTTTTTTTTTATCCGTCGCCTGACAGATGCAGTTCATAGTACTGTTTCTGTACTGAGATTTAAAAGGCCATTCAAACACTCATTAATAATTCATAAGGTTATTGGCAAATCATGTCAACCATAATATGTCACGTGCAGTGGCTCTAAACCTGATAAAACACTCCTAATTAGTATTCTTTATATAAAGAATACTCCCTAATAAGGTAGTATCTATTGTAGTCGTGTCCTCATTAGTATTCTTTATATAAAGAATACTAATGAGGCAGGATATCTATTGAATTTGTAGTCGTGTTTGAAGCCGTTTAACAAACTCGCAGGTCGTGTTTTATTAGGTCTAAAACCACTCGCGCTGCGCGCTCATGTGAGCTAATAAAACACTCCTGCTCGTTTATTAAACAGTACTAAACCCTGTATCGGACGGAGCACTGCACATTCGTTTAAAATGTGATCAACACTTAGGCAGTTGCCACAGATATTTAATAAGTTGATGAAAAATTATGCGATAATAAAAAGTTGTGTAACAACGTGAATTTTAAAGAATGTGTAAAATCGGAGAAAAACATGCATATAATGTAGATAAATTTAAGTTCTATTGAAAGGCAAAATATAAACTAATAGAAAACAACCATACAAAAAGAATATAGATAGTACTTTATAATAAATATATGATCAATACTTCTTTTTCAATTCCCTGAGCTTGTGCTTACTTGTTTATGTTCCAAAAATGGTTCGATAAGAAATCTCTTCAAAACTCCTTTAGTCTGACCAATCTACAGTAAAAGATGATGTTTATAGTCACATGCAGGTTTTATGCACATTTTTCAAGAACTCTGAAAAAGAAGACACATAGACTTACATTACTTATCATTATTTATAGATTACCTGAATCTCCTGGTTTAAACGTGCCTTAATCCAATCCTGTACTTCATGTAAATCAGCCTTAACTTTTACCAATCCAAGTTTTCCTCGTCTTTTTATCAACTGATCAGGTTTCACAACTAGTTTCTAAAGACAACGGGAATGATAAAGTCATTAAGGCGCAAGGACAGATTGCAGCTCATCATCATGGTGAATGAAATTGATGAGCAAATAAAATAAAATATGATGTTTTTTGTGTGTGTGTTGGTGTTATGTACTAAGGTGAATATGATGTTTGTGGTGTTACTCTGAGTGTGCATCCACACCGGCAAGCTGAAACGTTTGCCTGACCATGGTGGGAATCGAACCTACGACCTTTGCGATACTAGTCCAATGCTCTGCCAATTGAGCTACGAGTTCGAGTTGGTGATATTTCAGAACTGAGTCTAGTTCCTTCGATATCAGTGTATTCTAAGATATGATGTTTTTTGTGTGTGTTGGTGTTATGTACTCAGGTGAATATGATGTTTGTGATGTTACTCTGAGTGTGCGTCCACACCGGGCAAGTTGAAGTTTGCTTGAACACGGTGGGAATCGAACCCGCGACATTTGGGATACTAGTCCAATGCTCTGCCAACTGAGCTACGAGGTCAAGTCTGTTCGAGTTGGTAATATTGTGATTTGAGAAAATATGTGATCGTGGCCATGTGAATTTGCAGGGTGTAGACATAAAGGTAGACTTAACAATTTTTGGCAAGGTTGAGAACAATCGACTTCCATTACACTTTTAAAGGTGGACTCAGTAAGAATGTACTGTCCAGACGGAGAGCCTTCGCTCGAGACGTCGAAATTCTCCTTATATTTTTCAGGTAGTTGCATCCCTACCAACGAAAGTTTGTTCATATTATTGTCACTCCCTACACTGGCACAGACACTTCAAGATATGTATTCCACTGTGATGCAGTTTTTCATGTCCATGCGGAAAAGTTTAATTCGAACTTATGAAATAATCATATGACTAAACGTGCATGCAGTAATTAGCGTTCTATATGGTTTAATTGTTAATGTATTAATACGTAATATACTTAAAACATGAACTGCCGATCCGTATCTGATTTTCAAGCGAGCCATAGTAAGTCAGATCCAAATGCATTATTAATATTACTTAAAATACAGGTAATAATTCTAGCAACTATTTTGTATTTTTGGCGAACACCCTACTCGTTGCGGGTGTTCTCTCGGCTTATTGCACTGGTGCATTTGCGTTTTCGATTCCATTGTTGGGAAGACTTTCCCGTGTTGGTCTTCTTCACCTTGGTCAATGACATTTAACAGATTGGGATCTTCCGGTTACGAGTTTCGCGCAAGAATATCGATCTTTTGGCCAATTTGTTTTCTTCACAGGTTATAACCTCGTTCGTGTCGGATTCTCGTGCTTGATTCGTTACTTCGTCAGTGACGTGGGGTGTTTTCTTGCCAGGTCGCTTCTTCGATTTCTGCGGTTCCTCTTGTTCTCTGTGTTTGCCGATTGTTGCTCCAAAAAGTAACAAGGAAGAAATATTATTAGATTACACTGATATCGAAGGAACTAGACTCAGTTCCGAAATATCGCTTACTCGAACCGACCTGACCGCGTAGTTCAGTTGGCAGAGCATTGGGCTAGTATTCCAAAGGTCGTAGGTTCGATTCCCACCGTGGCCAGGCATATTTTTCAAGCCTGCCCGGTGGGGATATACACTCAGGGTAACATCACACAAGCAAGGAAGAAATAGGTTTCTATGAAGAACACGTACTCTTCCTTCAGCTTCTCCCAGTTTTACTTTGTACATTGGACTATCTTGACCCCTTTTCGTTCGACGACAATGTGTATCTTATCTTCCCAGTAAGCTATAAGTTTTGCTGGTCCCTCACGTTCTCTCAAGTTACGAACCAACACTCCATCACTTGGGTTAAGCATCGAACTACGTGCTTCTTTTCGCTCTCTCCTCTTGTGTGAAGTTGGTGCCCCGTTCTCTTTTTTAATATTAATGATCTCTTTCAAAGCTGTAACCGACTGCTCAACATACGTAACGCTATGATGGATGACAACATATTTAACGCTATGATGGATGATGATAGCTCAATTATATGTTCGATATACAGTGTTGGTGCTCTGCGAAACAACAGAGAGGTTTAGATTTGACTTCCACCACCGCGACCACTATCTCTCACTAGTTTAGTATCTGATTGGTTTATGCCTCTTAATGTTAGTGGAAGTCAAATTTCAACCTCCCTGTACAGTTATACGCATGTACGATTTTGTTGAGACTGTCTGGTCAATTTGACTTCTTTTCGTCTTGATCTCTGGCAAGGTTCTGACCATGGCAAGCAAGGTCTGGTTAAATCACTCGGCCTGCCCATTTCCTTTGAGGTGGTTGTTTTAGAATTATATTGAACTCCACAAAATCCCTCTAGATGTTTGAACAGATTATTCTCAAATTCAATCAATCTCATTATTCAATCTCATTAATTACGAACAATAAATTAATCAGTAGAGCTGGTGGGGCCCGGGTGCATGTATTTATCTAACAATTAAAAAAACTCATTAATAATTCATGAGGAAAATACAAAAGAAATGAATGTTTAATCAATGTTTGTAAATCGGATAAAGATTTGTCCTGATTTACATAAACTTCAGCTTTGATTTTCTTGGCTTAGACAATGTTTATTTCTAAAATTACTTCGCCAATGAACTCATAAGATGGGTCATTTTTTAAGCATTCGCATCCAATCTTTATCTGATATACAAACTCTCGCCTTCGGCTCGAGTTTGTATATCATATAAAGATCGGCTGCTCATGTTTTAACTAGCACTTATAAATACAAATAAGTACTAATTAAAACACAAGAATTAAGGAGTGCTTTATCCGATATAAAACACGAGGCGACAGAAAACGTCCCATCTTACGAGTTCATCGGCGAAGTAATCAAACCTATAAGGTTTATGTAAACTAACATGATTTTTTATCACATATAAAACCACCTACATGGTAGTGATTACCTTTGTATTTTTCTCATGAATAATTGAGTTTTTTTATAACTGTACAGTATATAAAATTAATACACAATCTTTAAAAACTACTCTTTTCTAAATTCCAACATTCAAATTAAATTTAGCCAACTACGCACGCTAAATTAAATTAGTCTACATATCTTTTGTCTTTGTGTTTAAGGAGTGGGCTTAGTTTGGACGCAAAGGACTTCGCTACGTTTGCTGTATGTTCTGACCAGAACATTAAATCTTGTTCACTTGTACTCCGAAAAGTTGTTCTGAAGTTGTCAAGTTTTGAATTTGTTATCGATACAGCGCCTGGATGGCCAATAAACGGTTTCCGATCATCCGACGTGTGACCATTGCCTTACATTTGTCTGGATGTGGTGCCAATAATCGTGGTCTTTGCGTGAGGGAAACCCAAATCAAAGAACAAATCATTATATAATTTGTTTGCAGCAGTCCTAGCAGAGTGAGGTTGCCCATCTCTTCATGAAGTTCACGGTACATCATGCGTCATGCGATGAGTTGCCTGGGTAACACCGTTGTAGAGATTCTTGGGCGCGACGTCGCAGTGTCCCATCTTCCCGAGTTCCAGCTTCGAACTTCCATTCATTGATTAGGTATCGTATCGTCTAGGTGTCGTATTGCCTAATTGTCGTACCCTGTCTCTCATTGACGACTGTTCCATGCTGTTTTCTAGGACTGAACTACCCTGTAGATCACTTGTTTTAGATTCTGGTCATTTCGTTGCGTGTTGTATAAACCTGTTGGCGTAATAATTTTCTGTCGTGTCCGGCACCCTTTGTTAAGTTTGTTTCATGTTAGCTGTTATGTCTATGGAAGCGGTGGCCCACTTCAGAATCAGGAATTCAAATTTCACAGAATGCAAATTGTAATTCTTGTTGTTAGTGTCCGTAAACCGCACCCCAATCACTCGCATTTAGTCTTCTTGACATTGATGAGCAGCACCAATGTCAGATGTATATGGCAGGTTTACAATACCAGAATCAGTCACAGGACTCGAAAGGGGATCATAAGTATATCGTCTTGCAGTTATAACCACGTAACAGATCAAACAATGGTTTTGCTAGCCTTGCGAAGTCAGAAACATAGTGACAATATTAATAATAACTTTTTAACTTAGATTTTAACAACATTTACTTGCAATATATACTGTACCATTTAAGGGTATTCAATAACAGAGATCCATAGCATAACTACATTAGTATAACTTCCCCTTAAAGTTGAATGATGTAAAGTTTGCAGATGAATTTGGGTTATATCTTCATGTCTTGCAAAAGAGCAAAGATGCATTTAAAAAGTGGGAGAAGCTGACCAACAGCCATAATTTTTTACATCAGGGTTATTTTTGGCATCTCACTCGATTGAACTAATAATGTTGTAGGAGTATCAGCGAAAAATACAACTATGGGCCCTCTGGCAGGAATTGAACCTGCACTCTGGCGCAGCACTCTAACCAGCTGAGCTCAGTGGAGCTACAGAGTCCAGTTGTCAAGCTCTAACTGCAAGTTTATGCATATGAATATATGATGCCATAGTTAAGTAAGGTAAATATCAGGATTATTTTTGGCATCTTGGTTAGAGTACGTCACTGGAATTGAAGCTGGTTACAGACAAGCAAGTTTTCCATGACAAGTTTATAATATATTGCTGTCCAATTGCATTCAAGTGGTCAAATTACTTTCATTGTCAAATTTTCTTTGTTGACCGATTTGTACTTTGCCAATTTTTTCTATGACAAATTTATTTGCAGGGCTTGAAATAACATTCAAAATTTGTCTGGAAAAATGTCCGACCAAAATCAAATTTGATCAGAAACTTGCAAACGTGGTCAGCCATTCTTCGATTCCATTCTGATTTCATGCCTTCATTGGGTAAATTAAGCCAATATATGTACTGTATTAAATAATACTTTATGCCAAACACCAGCCAGTGTAGTTAAACCTTTTACATTTAGTATTCTGTTTGGGAGGATTGCATGCAGCTTATTGGTTAACCCAGTTTTTCAATTTTATTGTGCAACAAATTTAGCATTTGGTTGGAAAAACTGTGTTTTGGTCAGAAAATGTCCAATGTCTGACTGTTATTTCAGGCTCTGATTTGTGCTTGGGGCAATGCTAGAATTGACTGATGCATAATTTGAATATGGAATATATGCCAGTGCTGTGGGAAGCAAATTGTTATTGGGGGCTCTCTTGAAAAAAATTGTGTTTCCAAAGCCTCAGTAGAACATTTTCTGTGTTTCATGAGAGGAATTTTTATCGCAGTTGTGAAGTTCTTGCATTTAAAAATTAATGATTTTCTAATGTTCAATTTCAATCCTCATCACCACCCAACTTAAGTTTAAGAGCCTCGTGACAAATTTTTATATTTCATTATACAATATAAATATACCGCCCGACAAAATAATTGAAGACAATTTTAAACTGCCAATTTCAAACAAACAGAATCTTGAAAGAAATTTCATTGCATTTTAAAGGAACTCAGTTGAAGGGTTCAGTCATTGTTCTTGGAGATACGTTGGACATTCACACTTCACTTTGGAAATCACAGTCTTGGAAGTCAAGTCCATAATGTATATGTAAACAAATGGTTTGTTTACATTTTGAACTGCTGTATTTTTTAAAATATCATCTACTGTCTGAATATCTAACAACATTTTGGTTCGCTATGCTTCTAAATGAATATGAAATAGAGTTTATGTTCAGAAAAATTCGAAACATTCCAAATGGTCCTCACATTGTTATGAGCATGCAGAACCGATGCGCAGAACGGACTTGACTTCCACTTTAAATCTTCAGAATTAATATTTTTATGCGGCCTAATTTATAAACATTGTTTTTCAAAGAATGCCCTGGCAGGGCCGTAGCAACCGGGGGGGCTGGGGGGGCTGCAGCCCCCCCAATAATTTGCTAATAATCATTCTTTTTTCAAAATCATGCAAACTTTATCAT